AAGACCCCTCAGAACCCCCCCAAAAGGTCCCAGGACCCCCCAAAAGCAGAGCCGAGCTCCATTTCCAGCTCTTTTATTAAAATCCATCCCTGCCCCCCAGGAATGAGGGACGTTCCCACGGCACACCCCCAAAAAATGAGAGGGAAACCCCCAAAAACGAGGCTGAGACCCCCAAAAATGAGGTGGGGACCCCAAACACGAGAGGAGGACCGTGAGAATGAAGCTGAGACCCCAGAAATGAGAGGGAGACCCCCAGAAATGAGAGGGAGACCCCCAAAAATGAGGGTGAGACCCCCATGGGTAAGGTGGGGGGGGCTCTAGCCGCGCCCCCTGAGCTTTTGGGGGGGTTCCAAAACTCCCCTCCAGGACCCGAACCCTCCCCAGGGGGGGTCTCTGAGGTTGGGGGGGTCCCAAAACTCCCCTCCAGGACCCTCCCGGTGCTGAACCCTCCCTCGGGGGGGTCCCTCGGGCTGGGGGGGAGGTCTGAGGAGAGGGGAGGAGGGAATCCCTCATCCCGGGGGGGGTCCCTCACCCCTGGGGTCCCTCACCCCTGGGGGTCTCTCCCCCCTCAGTGGGCCTTGTGGCAGGGCCGGTCGTGGGGGGATTCCCTCACTCTGGGGGGGTCCCTCAGCCCTGGGGGGGTCCCTCAGCCCTGGGGGAGGGGTCCCTCACTCTGGGGGTGTCTCTCACCCCTGGGGGGGTCTCCGGGGGTCTCCCCCCTCAGTGGGCGGGACGGGGATGGGGACAGGGGGCTTGGGGACAGGAGGATGGTGACACTGGGGACACTGGGGTCAGGAGGGTGGGGATTTAAGGGGACACTGGAGACAGGGATGGGGACACAGGGACACTGTGTATGGTGACACAGTGACACAGTGACACAGTGACACAGTGACACAGTGACAGTGACACAGGGCCATACCCAAGGACACCATGAGCTGCAGGATGTGGTGGGGATGGTGACACAGGGATGGGGACACAGGTGACAGTGACAGTGACACAGGGGAGGTCACACAGTGACACAGGTGACACAGTGACAGTGACACAGTGACAGTGACACAGTGACAGAGGAGAGGTGACAGAGGTGACCAATGCCATACCCAGGGACACCACCAGCTGCAGCACGTGGCGGGGACGGGGTCAGGGTGACACAGTGACACAGTGACAGTGACACAGTGACAATGCCATACCCAGGGACACCACAAGCTGCAGCACGTGGCGGGGACGGGGTCAGGGTGACACAGTGACAATGACAATGACAATGACAGTGCCATACCCAGGGACACCACCAGCTGCAGCACGTGGCGCGCCGGGTGCTGCCGCAGCAGCGCCAGGAAGGTGAGGAAGCTCAGGGGACCCCAGGCCCAGGCTGTCACCGTCTCCATGGCAACCGTGAAGTCATCGCTCCTGGGGGACAGCCCGAGGGGAGGGGTCAGGGGGGCAGGGGGACACGGCCACCCCCAACCCCCCGGGGTCCCCGGGGTCCCCAACTCACGTCATGTAGCGGCTGTCGGCCTTGGCGTACTCCTTCCCTGGCAATTTGGGGAGGGGGCTCCGGGTCAGGGGGGCTGGGGACCCCCAGCACCCGGCGAGCCCTGGCCACCGGCCCGGGGACCCCTCCCCACCTGCCCGGGGACCCCTCAGGTACCCCAGGGACCCCTCCCCACCTGCCCAGGGACCCCTCAGATACCCCAGGGACCCCTCAGGTACCCCAGGGACCCCTCCCCACCTGCCCGGGGACTCCTCAGATGCCCTTGGGACCCCTCAGGTACCCCAGGGACCCCTCCCCACCTGCCCGGGGACTCCTCAGATGCCCTTGGGACCCCTCCCCATATGCCCAGGGAACCCACAAGTACCCCCGAGACCCCTCCCCACATGCTCCTCCCGCTGCCCTGGAGACCCCTCCCCACATTCCCAGAGCCCCTCCAGTGCCCCGTGCTGCCCCAGGGACCCCTCCCCATGTGCTCGGGAAACCCCCAGAGACCCCTCCCCACACTCCCAGTGCCCCTTGCAGCCCTTGGGGACCCCTCCCCACATTCCCAGTGCCTTGTGCTGCCCTCGGGGACCCCTCCCCACACTCCCAGTGCCCCTTGCAGCCCTTGGGGACCCCTCCCCACATTCCCAGTGCCTTGTGCTGCCCTCGGGGACCCCTCCCCACACTCCCATTGCCCCTTGCAGCCCTTGCGGACCCCTCCCCACATTCCCAGTGCCTTGTGCTGCCCTCGGGGACCCCTCCCCACACTCCCAGTGCCCCTTGCAGCCCTTGGGGACCCCTCCCCACACTCCCAGTGCCTTGTGCTGCCCTCGGGGACCCCTCCCCACACTCCCATTGCCCCTTGCAGCCCTTGCGGACCCCTCCCCACATTCCCAGTGCCTTGTGCTGCCCTCGGGGACCCCTCCCCACACTCCCAGTGCCCCTTGCAGCCCTTGGGGACCCCTCCCCACACTCCCAGTGCCTTGTGCTGCCCTCGGGGACCCCTCCCCACACTCCCATTGCCCCTTGCAGCCCTTGCGGACCCCTCCCCACATTCCCAGTGCCTTGTGCTGCCCTCGGGGACCCCTCCCCACACTCCCAGTGCCCCTTGCAGCCCTTGGGGACCCCTCCCCACACTCCCAGTGCCCCGGGCCCCTCCCCAGCGGTGCTCACAGACGTCGGCCAGCAGCCCGGTGTCGGCGGGCAGCTCCCGGTGCCGGAGGCTGAAGTACCCTTCCAGGACGCCGTGGATGCCGGCGCAGAGCAGGAACCAGCCCAGCACCAGCCGGCGGGCGGGGCTCCGCCTGGCCCCGCCCTTCGCCCCGCCCTTCGCCCCGCCCCCGGCCCCGCCCAGGGCCCCCGCGCCTGGCCCCGCCCCACGCCGCCCCCGCCGCCAATGGGAGCGCGCCGCCTCAAGGTCGGCCAATAGCAGCGCGCCCCGCCCGCGCCTGCCCGCCGCTGATTGGCCGCGCCCGCCGCTGGGGAGATGTGGGGCCAGGGGGCGTGGCTTTGTGGGGGCGTGGCCTCGCAGTACGGGGTTATTCCCCGCCCAAATGGGCGTGGCTTCACACAAAGTGGGCGTGGCTTGAGTTCTGTTCTGGGGGGGGCTCTGTGCGGACCCCTCCCCTTTAAAGGGGCCCAGAGACCCCCCCCAAATTACACAGGAGCCCCCATAAATTACTTAGGGACCCCAAAGACCCCGCCCCAAAATATTTAAGGTCCCGCAGACCCCGCCCAAAATTCTACAGGGACCCCAAAGGACCCCTCCCCAAATTATTTAGGGACCCCAAAGACCCCTCCCCAAATTATTTTGGGGTCCTAAACCTCCCCCCAAATTCTACAAGGACCCCCACCCCCCAATTATTTAGAGACCCCAAAGCCCCCTCCCCAAATTCTCT